AGGATCTTTTACGTGCCGTAAATCTACGACACGGGACCTACGGCTTAAAAGTCCCTCCTGGAGGACTTGTTCCCTGAATTTTTCCGCCCTTAAAAATTCGACGACCTCCGCCGGGTATTTGAACCCGCGTACTATGAGCCATGAGGTGGGAACATTACCTCTAGACTACGGAGGCCGCTTAATGTTGCTCTTGACTTGTCAAGCTTTTTTTGGCCGAGGTGAAGAAGGGCTCTTCCATTGCGACGATTGCTGGTTGCTTTCATGGTCGTAACCATAAACCTAACTTTCGTCACCAGTGACAACCTTCGAAAGAAAGTTTGGGTCCTCTTGAAGCTGTTGCTGAAGTTCCCTGCAGACTTCCAAGCGATGCTGCTTCTGTTCATTTTGCAGCAGTCGTGGCACAAACTTTGCCACAATCCTCCTCATGTTCAGTTCCTCTGACAAAATTCGTTGACATGTACCATAACTTAGTCCCAAGGTGTTACAGAGGTCTTGGATGGTCAGTCTACGATCTTGCAGAATGAGATCCCTAACTTTCGCAACATTTTCTGGTGTTTTGCCCGTTGATGGCCGTCCAGAACGATCATCATCATCAGTCAATGTTTGGCCATTTTTAAATCGCTTATACCAGTTGTAAGTTTGTGTCTGGCCTAAACTGTTGTCACCAAAAGCTTGCTTCAACATTTGGTGCGTTTCTGCAGCAGTTTTCCCAAGTTTGAAATAAAACTTTATACAGACACGCTACTGTGTCAGCTCAGCCATCGCAAAACCGCAGACTCACGGAAACACAACAATGGAAATACGTTCACCAACAATAAACCCAACCACTCAACTTGACGCCGCTTGCCACACTGATTCAAGAAGGATGTGTGAGGAGACATCTAGCGGTATTTCAATGTACTCATAACCATTCGCACGCAAAATTCAAATTTTGGAAACTTTTGGATTGCCCCATGTATTAAGCTGCCTGTGGCAGTTGTTTACTATTGATGTATATTTTCTTTATGTTACTATTTAATCCAAGAAAATGATGAGTTGAAAGAGCTGTGGTGAAGATTTAAATGGCCACTTTATGCCTGATGGCAGGCTATATAAATGCCCACGTAATTCAATAATTATCTTGTGAACATGAAGAAGATGGTTTTGTTTGATCTAGATGTATTTTTACTATCCCTCGTATGGCCAATGTCAGGTAGGATATTCCCTCTACTAGATGCAGTAGTTTCAAAATTTCTTTACAGATGGCATACAGATGTGGGGGGGGGGGCAGAGACTATCTTGTAGTTCATTTTGTTTATGATAGATTGATGTCTATGCCTGGAAAGTTTGAATACATACAGAAACTTAGTCTGGATGATACATATGTAGAAAGACCACACTTGTAAGGATACAGATGCACAAGGACACCATGTTGAGTAATGTCCATGGTATTATAGGCTCAGCAGTATAAAAGCTTAAATGTCATATTGGTCTATAGAGTGCTGTTATGTCTGGATTTAAATCTCCCACTAACTATGAC